TTGGGCCACAAAGGCAACCGTGGTAGCCTAATGGTTTGACCTGCCATCTCTCAAACAGAGGTCGTGGATTAAATTCCGGGCTCGCACATCTGAGTTTCTCGGAACTTACGTGTGAAATTTAATTTGAAATTTATCATGATATTTTCTTCTCTGGCAAATTGAGTTATTACTAGCTACTGAGCTATTACACTGCCACTGCGCACATCACCTTGAGACATAAGTGAAAAGTCCCATGTTCCTGTAATTTCATCAGCACCCACCCTTACCCTTAAACGTAGTAATGGTTTGGAAGGTTTTCAAGGATAAGGGTGCTGGTGAATTTGCGGGCACATGGGATTTGTCAACTTATGTCTCCTCTGGGTGACAGATGCCGTATCAGTGTCTCTCAGATCTTTACGATTTAAAGCTCTGAATGGCACTGCAACTGTTATGGATAGGCGTGTAGCTTACTACCAGGCACACGACTTGTTCGTCTCTTGTTATTATAAAAAGAAAAACCAAGCATACAGCGACGAGCTTGAAAGTTTGAACTAAGAAGATGGGTGCTATAAATGGCTTAGTTCAAAATCGCAGTATTCTACAATTCTGTGCTATTATATAAAGGTATCGATATAATTTATCGATTAATACGTTATGGTAAGATAAACAGTAATTGGAATATGTAGTACATGTCGATCAAAAACAACAGCACGCAGTTTCAAAAGAGATAATAAAGATAAATAAGAAAATAATAATAAATAAACGCAGTATAACGACCTAGGTGGTCCAAAGCTTTGTGTTGTGGGCGCTGGATGATGAGGTTCCGGGTTTCATTTCCCGGTAGGACCAATTTGGAAATGAATTTTTCAAAAATTGATTCTTGACTGGGTGTTCTGAGAAGTGCTCTATAGTGAATTCCGTTGCTCTGGTAAGTACAGGGAATTCTCTAGTTTGAGACCTGATAATTGGTATGGTTCTCTAACACTCTGTTATTATACATCATGTTATTTCAAGTGTCAATAAATAAATTTACTTACTTATGACATAAAAACGACAAAAAACCTACTAATCCCCCTAAAGCACAAAATATAATTGTGAGCAATTATAAAACTTAAAGAATATAATGTATTAAATAATACACACAACTTCACTTTTTTATGTAAAGTAGGAGGCACACGAGCCGACAAGCCCCTTGATAGGAGGAGGTCATCGTCGCCTATAGACAGTTGGAACATCAGAGCACTTGTCGATCTATGCATTGCCAGCCTTTCTTCCTGTGTTGACGCGCTTTTTGAAGAACCCCACGTCATAGCGCAAAGGAAGTACTTACAAAAGAGAGATCATTCCACACCATGCAGGTTTCAGGAAGATACTAACGTGATTCCTGTGTGGTCTTACAATGCCAGTCCCTAACGATACCATTCATTCATTCAACGATTTAATTTTTTTGGGCATTATCATCATTAACGCACGTGCCACTGTTAGTCACGAGTTTTCTCTCAGACAAGGATTTAGGCCATAGTCCGCCACGCTAGGCTAATGCCGGTTGGGGACTTTTCCCAAAGTTGTGAACCTTCTTCGGCGTCTACCATGGCTTCGCACGGTACTCCGTAGGATCATATTCTAATTATTGAATTTTACGGTAAATGCCGTTATTGTCCAAGAATGGGTTAATCATTTAATAAATAACTAAGAAAGTCTTGACTTGTATGGAATGATTGCATAGAAATACCGTACAAAATAATCTAGGTGTTGCAAGAACATAACTCAGTTGTAAAATATATTCAGTTCTCCAAGTTAAGAGGTAAATGGTCCTTTGTCTATACAACGTGGAGATTTCTCGTTGAATATGGATGCGTTTCTAGTTCATACACTTTCGTTTCACTTCGATTTTGTTGACTAAAGGATGTACGAATAGATAAGTGCCTAGTTTCTAAAATAGCAGGTTAAGATCGTAAGACGAAAGACAGCTTGGTGGCATCGATATTCTGCCTTTCCGGCTCAGTATTGTCGTTTAAACTACTGTTTTTTCTAATTCAAACTTTCGACAATGTCTTATTTGACCCACTGTTTCTGCTAATAATCTGTGAAATTTCGAATAGAAATAGTGGTTTTAACTGCAGCAATTAGCAGAAAGACAGAATACCAAGGGCACTGGCCTGTCTTTCGTGTTTGCAGGTTATTATATGGTTTGGCTGTTACATTTTCATACGAATTGATCTAACGATATCAATGTTATCATGTTAAGTAGTTAAGTGGAGTTTTTTATGAAGCAAGTGACGGGACGAACAACTCCCGTCCCGCAAGTGACATTCCTGTCCATAAATAATAGTTGCCGCTTAGAGCTTTAAATCGCAAAGATCTTAAGGTCACTACACTACGTCCGTTACTCGGAGATATAAAGTTGACAAGTCCCATGTGCCTACAATTCCACCAGCACCATCAAAACTGGAACGTAGTTAAGTAATGATCTCATTACGACGAATTCTCCTAGACGAATTCTTTCACAAGGTCCTCTACCGCTACTAGATAATAATACCGTTTGAAATAGGAGGAATGTCGAACCACTTTGATGATTTTTTTCCAGACAACAGTTTAGTACAAATTATTACTTTAATTAGTTAGAAAAGTGAAAAACAATAAGAAAAAGTAAGCGATGAATTCGCTGAATTGATAGAAATGATTTATTACTCGCTGAGGGAAGAAATAAATATCTCACAGATGGTGCTACGGCAAAAAAGTTGTTAAAAACGAAAAACAAAAATCGGCAAGAAGCACATAGAAAAATTCGTAAGATCTGCTGGTTCGTTCCGTGGTTTACTTGGCAGAGTATCTGACACCGATTGCCTGAGAGTGCTGGTTCGTATCCAGCCGGATCAAATATTTTTTTCTAATGTGTTCGATCTTTATTATTAATAATAATTAGAACTAACACATTAGTAGTAACACATTGCGACAGTCAATATACTTAAAAATTATTTATACTTTTTACACTTTATGGCATATTTAAGTGTTTTAACATTTTATTTATTAAAAAACATGGTAAAGCTGTAAGACCTCGAGACTCTTAGGCCTTTTAGTTTTATTTCGATTATACACTCGAGAGCAATGAATCCGGGTCACTTAAAGAATCCAAAAAATCTCGGAAAGTAAGAATGCTAGGTTAATGCAATAAGTTGTATTTAATAGACAATTTAATACTCCTTAAATGAAAGTAAAAAAAATATGAGTCACCATACATTTTATTTACACAAAATTACATAAAGAAAAAAAACTGCTGATCTCTCCTTAAAACAAAAATAGGAAACATGAAATTTTTGAACTTTATTACGATTTTCTTGAATTTTAATACTTCGTATTGCCTCCTCGTGCTTCCATTACTGCGTTTAGGCGGTTTGGCATGCTGTACACCAAGTTCCTTATACGATTTTGGGGAATATTCTCCCATTCCTCTGTGAGAGCAATTTTGAGCTCACGAAGCGTGATTGGGGGAGGGTTTCGTCGTTTTACGCATCTCCCTAGCTCGTCCCAAGCATGCTCGATCGGGTTGATATCCGGGCTGCGCGCTGGCCACTCCATACAAGTAATGTTCATCTCTTGAAGGTAGTCATTTACAATCCTACCTGTATGAGGTCGGGCATTGTCATGCATAAATATAGCATCCTCACCAAAATTGACCATAAATGGACCAACGTATTCATTGAGGACTTCATCTACATATCTTTCGCTAGTTAAAGAGCCGTTTTCTATGATCACCAGCTCTGTGCGACTTTCAGAAGAAATTCCGGCCCACACAAGTACAGACCCACCACCGTAGGCTACTTTTTCTTCGATGCATGCTTGCTTGAATCTTTCCCCTGGTCTTCTATACACTCTGTGTCTTCCATCGTGCTTGTAGAGCATACATTTTGATTCGTCGGAGAACATAACTTTCGACCAATCTTCAATACTCCAATTTACGTGGTTCTGGGCATATCTTAGTCTTGAAATACGATGCCCCCGCTCCAGTTTAGGGCCGTTTGCAGGTCTAAGGGGTTTTAAGTTAGATTCAGCAAGCCGACGTCTTACTGTCCATGCACTTGGGTTACTTCCTCCGAGGCGTCGAAACTGATTTGTGAGTTCAGCTCCTGTGAGAAAGCGATTTCGAAGCATGGTGTTCACCAAGTATCGGTCTTCTCGTGCTGTGGTACACCTAGTTCTGCCCGTTCCTGGTCTGCGTAGGTTAGAACCAGTTTCTTCGTAACGTCTGAGAACTCTTTGTACTGTTGACAGCGACACACCGACAGTCCTGGCTGTATCGCGCTGACTCCGGCCAGTTTCCACCAATGTAAGTATTCTGGTGCATTCTTCAAGTGTAAGCGACATGATTTCAACTTAAATAATGAATATTAAGCACTATCAACATGGTTTATGTACCCACATAAATGACAGATTACAAACAAAAGCAAAAACAAATGCTGTAATTTCGTAGTTCCATCTTCGAAAGTGTTCCCTTTTCATATTTGATTTTTTTATGATATAACTTTACAATAACTAAAAAGTTTTAATACCTTCATTTAAGGAGTATTAAATTGTCTATTAAATACAATTTATTGCATTAACCTAGCATTTTTAGTTTCCGAGATTTTTCGGATTCTTTTAGTGACCCGGATTCATTGCTCTCAAGTGTATATATGTATCGTTTTAAAAGGAATGCAAGAACAAAATGACCTATTTATGGTACAGCTTTAAAATTGCTAAGTGGTTTCTAACCTAAGCGAGCAAAAATCGAACGCTTGAATCACATGACGCTTGTACATCACGCGAAATATTACGTAAATAGATTCCATGTACACGATATCAGGAAGTATTTTTTAAGGTAACATGTACAGAGCATGCATTTGGTTACATGCTAAATGCTTCAAAACACGAAAGCATAGTGCTAAATATAACTTGATTTATGTATTTTGATTCCAATATTTCGTAATACCGAATAACAACTTAATACGAATCGTGAGTAAGATAGCTTATGTCGGACTTACCTGATTCTTCATCGTCGTTAATCTCGTTTTCTTCATCAAGCGACCTATCCATGTCCGAGCTTCCAGTGAGGTAGATGATATTCGCCTCGTTGCTGTACTTCCTCACATCAACGTTATTCTTCTTGAAGCACACACCGTCACCAATGTTTATATCACCCGAGTACTCAAGCTTCTCATCCAAATATGAATAAACATTATTCTGTACACAGCTCACTGACGGATGCACCGTACACTTGTTCAATAAGTTATCCCATAAAGAGTTACCAGTTCTAAATGTTCCATTTTTATACACATCACTAAAGAACGACCTACCAGCTATGGCTTCAACTATTTTCATTCGCCTAGGTATATCGTCTTCAATTTTTGTTTCGTTAATTTCACTAGATTGAACTATGTGAATGTTCGATATTAACACTATGAATAAGATTATTCTTCTCAAATCGATTTTGGATATCGATTTCATTCGATTTTCTATTCGATTTCGGCTCTGTGCCGAGCACTCATTTCGGTTTAGCGTCGCCATCGTCAAATCATTACTGCACGAAAACAATACCTTTGTCTACTTATATGTTTTTTTTTAAAAACAAAGGGCGTTGTTACCGTGGCCGGTCACACATGTTAATTTCATTCTTTACTTGTTAAAATATGAATTTTAATAAATCGAAAGTTGTGCAAGTGTCTTCGTTGACACTTTGACACTTTACGTCGTCGTAGGTTGTCATGTCATCTGAAACAAAAGAAAGTAAAATTTTAAATTTTTGTTGAAAAGAAAAGTTCTGGAATTGTAATTAGAAACCATTAAATATTAATAAGATACGAAGTGAAAGCTGTTGTAAATGTAAATTTTTGTGCCAAAGATTTTGAAAACAGCCGTAAATATAGTTAACTATGGTGTATGAAGTAATTTTATGTGAATACTAAATGATATTATAATTGAATTAGCTGTTGCCCGTGACTTCGACTGCATAATTTTTTACACACATTATGATATTACTATAACAATGATAAATATAAATATTTTGAATGTATAGACGGCATTGAATGTACCTATACACATTGACGGATCTTGTTCCGTTGGAGGCTGTTGACAGTACAATCTGGGTACATTGACTAAACACTATTTGTTTTTTATTTTTTGATTTAACGACCTCGGTGGCCCAACGGGGTGCGATTCCTGGTAGGACCAATTTGGGAAATAAACTTTTCCAAATTGGTACTCATAGTACTGAATTTCGTAGTTTGAGGCAGTTGGTGTGATTGTCTGGCACATTATTATTTTATTCAGGCGGTCATTTGAAAGTTATACAAGACACTTTTGTGTATAACTATGCATTAGTTGCAGACTACTGGAAAACCTTTTTGTAGACAAAATTGCAGTGCTACCTCACCAGATTCCTACGAAATGTAACTCTAGAACATATTACATAAAATTGCCTATGCGAAAAACAATGCTTGCCCCAGGGATTTCTTAATTGTCAACACAAAATACCCATTCAGGGGTAATGTATAAGTTGGTATACGTGGTACAGGACACAATAATTACAATAACGAGTTTTCTTGTACAACAAAACAAAAATTATGTAATAAAAAATATCAATAGCATTAAATTATTTTAAATTATATAAATACCTTAGATAAATACACATTTTATAATATAATACGTATAAAATGGATGGAACAGTGGATAAATAGTTCTCCTTAACTCTCGTCTATTCACTCTCATTTGAAGTGTTTATACATGGCCCTATTAAATTGTGGTTACAAATACAGCTGTCATTACAGGTTGTGCCTAATGTCAATCTGTTATGACCAATGATCTGCCAATGTTGGCAAACATTGGCAGATCGCATTACTTCGCCTTTAAAAAAAACACTTTCTAAAAAACATTTCGAGTACATTGGAATAGTAATTCCCATCACTCGAGTTACGTTGCGACGAAAAACAAAAGAATCACGCAAAGCGTGTTTAAAAGATAAAAACTATACCTAATTCGTTTTACGCAGCTGTATGTTTTATTGTCTTTTTTTAACCGACTTTAAAAAAGGAGGAGGTTCTCAATTTGACTGTATGTTTTTTTGTATGTATGTTACGCGATAACTCCGCTATTTGTGAACCGATTTTCATGATTCTTTTTTTGTTGGAAAGAGGGTACCTCCACAGTGATCCCATTTCATTTTGAAGAAAATCATCCACCTTTAAGGGTGGCTGATGACGCATGAACATTCATTTTTATAAATAACGCCTAAATTTTACTTAAGGAGCAATTATTTTAATGGTTGGTTTTGCTATTCGCCAATTCAAGGCGTTTTTCTCTCAATATACTTTCAGTAGTGAGAACCGTTTTTTATTATCTCCTGTGTCAAGTTCTGCATAGTGGCGAACTAGGCGATATTGCAATAAAACTTGGCAAATAGATGTAATGCCACGTACTTTTGGGGTCGGTTTTTTAGTACTCTGTACTGAGATTATGTGTAATAAATTTATTTCAGATTTTTTATGTGTGCACTGTTTTGAAGTTCTTTACATGTATGGAATTATTATATATTTTTTTGTTAATAAAATAATAAACAACGTGGCAAGAGAGCAGCTTTGCGAGATTTTTAATTTGCGCAAGATCGTTTAAATAGGGCATGGCATCTAGCGCCAAGTAGAAATGTGAGCATTTCTGCGTTCCAGTTTTGAAGGATAAGGGTGCTGGTGAAATCACAGGCACATGGGACTTGTCAACTTAAAGCTCTGAATGGCTCTGCAACTGTTATGGATAGGCGTGTCGCTTACCACCAGGCGTACGACTTGTTCGTCCCGTCACTTGTTATTATAAAAAATAGACTTTTCTGAGCAACTTAGCTCATTTTATAGTTCCCTAAAAATCCACTAGATGGCATTGACCCAGTGTACGTAAATTCCGCATCGCGGTGTTAAATTTTCCGTCGAATGGAAATTACCTCGATCAAATTTTAGAACTGTAAGGGATGTCATTATCGACACCAGGTTATGGTACTATTAATTTGTTTCTAAGAGTCATATCCTGGAAGGAACCTATCTGATTTTGTATTATACCATAAGCACTTTGACCTTCTCTACAGGCAGATTAAAATATGTCTATATGTACAATTACGTAAATAAATATTATGTATACATAACGTGACCATATGTCCCGCTTTTAAGCTTCGTGTCCCGCTGTCCCCAAAATACTTAACAATGTCCCGCTTTGACAAAACAGGACACACGTAATATTTCTTTTTTTAAATGGCGCGAAAGCGTAAAACCAACCACGAGACTACACAAGATTAGCTCTTTTTTCTCAATTTTTGGTCATTGTCAACGTCTTTAGTTCCTTTCTTAAATTTTTCTAATCACTCAACATTTTGTAACTATTTGATACTTGTTTTTTTTTGTTTTTAAAACAATAATAAATATACGGGCGTCCCGCTCTGAGGGACAACAATAATGGTCAAGTTATGTATACACAAATAGTAAACTTCGTAGAGAATAAAAGTCGTTAAAATTGAAAATTAAGATCATTGAGTAATAGCAAAAATACTTTTTAATTTTTTTTCATAATATTAAGTAACGAGATGAACAAGTCCTGATAGTAACATATAGCCTGTCCATAACAGTTGCAGTGCCACTCAGAGATTAAAATCGCAAAGATCTGAGAGGCACTGCCAATGCGCCCGTCACCCTGAGTCATAAGTTGACAAGTCCCATGTGCCTGTAATTTCATCAGCTCCCTTATCCTTCAAAATCGGAACACAGTAATGTTGACATTACTGCTTGGCGGCAGAAATAGGTACGGTGACAGTACTTCCCTGGACGAACTCTTTCACAAGAAGCTCTATAGCTACTATTACTTAAAACCAAATGTTTAATGTATAGAACACCAAGTTTTATGAATATTCACCAGCTTTCGCTACAAGAGGGAAATTTCGCTACATCTAAAGGGAAATCATTGGCATCATTCTAAGAACTATACCCCAAGTCATGACCTTCGATAACATTTCCTACTTTTCACTTTTAGTTTTAGAACTGGGAATTTCATAGTTTGTGACCAGGCAATTAAAGTGTACTATGAGTACCATAGCATCGGATTTCACTACGGGGCCCCAGAACACTAATTTACAAAAGTTCATTTCTCATATTGGTTCTACCGAGAATCAAGCCTGGGACCAACACACCAGCTTACACAGAGCAATCGGTTGAGCCGAGATTGTTATAAAAGGGTTGAAATTATTAACCTCTGTGATGCTGGTTCAACCGGTCTAGATACCGGATATAGTGACATTGCGTACACGCAGATCACACAGGCTGTCTAGCATAGAGCTGAAATGTTTTATCAGGATACAGTATTTACATAAAAGGAAAATACTTACTTACTTATTTTATACTTACTTATTTTGTAACAAATATTTGAATATAAAAGTCTTTTTACATCACGTACATATCGTCGGATTTGGCACGAATGAGCGTAACTTTTCTTGTTTTTAATAATATTTCTTTGTTTTTACAAGCACTTACAATATCACGGGGATAGGGGACCCTGTATCTACTGCGTCACGTGAACTTTGCATAAGTTCATTATTAACAAACAGATCAAATAAACAAGAAGGAGAATTCTTTTGATCTGGTTGTACTCGAACCCGCCTTTGTTGCTTTACCGTGGTTACCGCTTTTACCAGTTGAGCTAATGGTAGTAAAAACATCGTGCTATTTAATAAAATAAATATTTAGCATAAGGTGTTGATAATTTTACTATGTGTATTATTTGGAGTATTGTTTCTGGCGTAATAATAATAAAAATATTTTTTTTTTTTCATATAAATATACTGATTAATATAATGAGTGTTATTTTTATATATTTCATATATATAAAACTAACAATCATTTTACAGGTTTGAATTACAAAGATGCTAGCCAATTTCAAAAATTTTAAGAGAACCGAGTGTTAGTAAAAATGTTGATTGACCAATGTAACGAGATTGTCTTATTTTAATAAATGCCCAATGAAAGCAGACAATTTGTATAAGAGTCCAGTTTGTCTCTGTCTCAGATTAGTTTGGAAAAAAAAGAAAAAATATAAGAAAACATTATAATTTAGAAAACAATGTCTATAAGATTCCATTCGATTTTATTTCAAATTAGATTCCAATAAGAATACAAAAAGCGGAAAAAAATATTTTCTTTGTACAAAGATAAAGCACAGATTGGTATTTCGTAGACAGTATTTTACTGTCGTCGTTGTCGAGAAATAAAACAAAAAAAAGACGCGAAAGAATTGGGAACGTGACCATAAATTTAAGCCAGATGAAAGCTTAGGAGAATAGAATGTATTCGAACATCATTTCGGATTAACATTTTTGTAGTATTTTTTAGCTTTCAAGTGTCCCACTGTACAGTATTCCCTAAAGTCCCCTACCTATCTGGCAGAAAAATAGCGCTGTAATTTGTTAAGGTCTACTTTAACCCCATGCCATAGCGCAAAGGATTTTGTTTTAATGATACCAAGTGATGGGACGAACAAGTCGTGCGCCTGGTGGTTAGCGACACTCCTGTCTATAACAGTTGCAGTGCCTTTCAGAGCCACCCGTCACCCTGTGACATAAGTTGCCAAGTTCTATGTGTCTGTAATTTCACAAGCAATTAGAACATTTACTACCATATACCACACAATTAATGAGATACACCCACAAAATATTGAGGTTGCATGTGGCTAGTAGCAAATCTTTT